GAAACGACCAGGTAGGCGTAAATACTGACCGACAGGAGCTGATGCGCCTTAAGAAGGCTGGTTACCTCATCTCACCGTCAGACCCTAGAGTCTGTGTTCGGAGATGCTAGCAGCCACAGGCAACCCTATAAGTGTTTTCACGACACATCGAGAGCTGCATGCCATGAGTTTTCACGGAAGATCTGCAGTCCATAAGCCGTTGATAACAAACGCAAAACTTTGATTGGCATGGGGCAAGGCACACCGAACCTGAATCGTGCATCAATGGAAATCGGTCCTGTGGAGCGACGAGTCACGCTACACGGTCTTCCAGTCTGATGGATGCGTTTGGGTATGGAAGATGCCTGGAGAACGCTTATTAGCCGAGTGTGTTGTCACAACAGTGAAGTTTGATGGTGGCGGTATCATGGTCTGGGAGTGCTTCTCGTGGTATGGACTAGGTCCACTGGTCGCAGTGCATGGATCCATAAATGCAGAGTCCTACATTGATGTTCTGAACAATTCTGTGTATCCTACATTGTGGCAATTTTATAGCATCGGCCCTTACCCCTTCCAACATGATAACGCTCTATGTCACAAAGAGAGGACTGCGAAAGCGTGGTTTGAAGAGAATAATATTAGAACATTGCAGTGGCCAGCAGAGAGCACTGACCTCAACCCGATAGGACATCTTTGGGATGAACTGAAACGCAGAATGAGGGAAAGGCCAAAACAGACCTTTTCAGTAGTGGAGCACAATACTACTAGAAACTAGCAGATAGTCTTCCACGACGCATAGAAGCAGTCATTAAGGCCAAAGGCGGGGTAACACGCCATCAGTTTCTTGGAATAGACATGTTTTATTCATAACTACCAGTGTCCCATGACTTTTGGTAAGATAATGTATATATAAATAATTTAAGTGGTCTGAAAAAAAAACAGTTTGACTTGTGTTCCTTTCATGAAATACGAATTCACAACAAAATAAGTTGATATCTTTAGTTTCCTTTCAATTTACGTAACTTCCCTATTTTATGAATATCACTTGACATATTTAACTGCTTATCAGATCATACAACTCATAAAACTAAATACTATATGACCAAACAGTTTAGCATTACCTATCATGTACCAACAGTTACAATATTTATATCCACTGTTACCATGTGCTCTCAGCGAGAGCTACACGAGGGCTATCTGCCCAAGCCTCCCTAATTTAGCAGTGTAAGACTAGAGGGAAGGCAGTTAGTCATCACCACCCACTCTTTTACCAACGAATAGTGAGAGTGACCGTCACATTATAACGTCCCCAAGGCTGTAAGGGCGAGCATGTTTGGTGGGACGGGGATTCGAACCCGCTCTCCACGGAAAAGCATATACTGACACTTTAATCAAATTGCTCAAAATATGCTTATACTGAGAAACTTTTTTACATTTTAAAACAACTGTGGAATGTCATTTAGTAGTTTCAAGATTCTAGCCTTATCCATTGTCAAAAGTACACGTATTTCCACACACTTAAGCCTATAATCTAACACACAGGGAACAATGTATTAAAAACAAAATGAAAAAAAAAGTTTTATATAGTTATGCCAAAAAAAATCAGACTATATATTTCACATTTAGATCCTTCAAATTCTTAGAGTATAAAATATAACTTTTTCTACACCAATCAGTCTGACAAGTTAACTGTTTATTTCACTATTCCACAATCTCTAATATTACTTTCATAAATTATAAAAGTTGTTCACGTCAAATATTGCAATTTTTCAACTACTAAAATACTACAATCTCAAGATGTGTACTTTCAATTTAGCCTATAACATCCCACATGGCAACTATAAAACATCTAGTGCTGACAATGCATTTCCCCTGAGTAGATGTGCATGATGTTTCAAAACATATAGCATTTTTTTTCCATTCAAGACTTTTCACTTGGGTGGTGGCTGTAATGTCACTTAAAAGGTTTTTTGAACTTGCACAGTCAACTATATAACAAAGTACAAATTAAATTCTGAATAATAATTACAATTCTTTAGAGAACTTGGAATAACTATTGTTCATTAATAACTAATGTGTATAAAACAACAGAGCCAAAAACAACAAATTAACCTTTTTTTATTCTGAATATCATACTTTCTTTCAAGAAAAGCAAAATTCTAGAAAATTATATTTCGTGTGGTCTAATAAATGCAACAAGTTTATTTTAATAGCATAATTGGAAAAAAGAAAAAACTGCAAGGTGAACAGAGATAGCATCCACATGCATGTATTTTTTGTTTTAAAACGGTTAAATTGAGAATACCCTATGGTTAAGTTATTAATAAAAGCATTTCAATTTGAATTTATTTCTATAAATAACTTGTTACTGAAGAAAGGTAACTAAAATCATAACCATGACAGAAGTTCTAAACTTCTATTCAGTCTTCACTGAGTTATCCTAACTTTTTGAACATTCCTTTAACCTTTTTTTCCTAGTTCTATTTTAATTTATATATATATATATATATACACATACATATTCAAATTTCACCTATCATCTTAAGTACATTTGTCCATTCCATTAGAAAACAGATTTAACAAAAAAACGAGTATTCATTTCTTAATGGTTTAAGCTCATTTATAACTCTTAAAATTGACATTTAGTAAATATTTGTATGATAAGTACTGAAACTAGTGAAGCTTTGCCTGACCTTATTACAGCTAGCTTAGTAAACTGAGGCATATGTATGTGCATGTACATACACACACACACAAGAATTTTCTTTTTTCTTTTTATAATGAAATTGAAATAACTAATTCTCATGCATAAAATATTGTTTTCACATTATTACATCCACAGTTTATAAGTTGATGATGTGTGTGTGTGTATAATAATGTATTTCATAGATGTAAACACACACACAGTAATTTTATTTTTCCTTTTTTTATAAATATATCGAAGCACTAAAATCTGAAACAATGGATTCTCATACACAAAATGTTGTGTTTTCACATTGCCCTAGACTTTCTGTCACATAGCATATATCGAAAACAAAAAGAACTTGATTAGCCTAAACTAAGTAACTGCAAAGTCTGAGTAAAACCTCAACTTTGCAGCAAGGTTTAATGTGTAAAATTCTTCACAAGCACTTACCAAAATGTTTAAAAATAAAATATTCACAAATAGCATCTTTTATTGGCAGTGAAGCAGTTCATGATGTTTATGTCAATATCAGATAACACAGTAAAGAATCCCAGTTACAAAACCTTGCATCAGAGGCAATCAATCTCTTAACATATCTTTCTGTTAAAACAATGTGATTTGCAGTTAACAAAATAATACAAATGACAAAACAAATAATACAGGTACTCATGGTTGTCTGTAAATTGAAGTGCACATTTGAAAATCAAGGTTGATATTGGATCGTTCTTTAAGAAATAAAAAAATAGTACAAGACAATGTAGTACCAATGTGCTCTTACAATATTAATATGCAGAGAAAGGTGGAAAAAATGAATAGAAAAGATTGATAAAACTAATCTGTTTGATATCTGATAACTTTAATTATGCAACAGAGCTGAAGTAACCACACATCCTAAAACCTTTTTTTATGTATATTTTTCTATTCAAATGTAGCTAAAAGATTGTTTCTAAATATATGGAAGTATGATATTTGCCCCTTCTGTAAGTACTGTAACACAATTCACTATATATATATATATATTGCAGTAATATCCAATAGAATACTAACGGTGCTTAATAGATAACTATATCTACTTAAAAAAAGTGAATGAATTGATTGAAGTTTTTGACCAATGCCAATGTTATCTTCATGTTTGCTTTCTTAAATACTTTATATCTTAGTTTTAATGTTATTTTGAACTCAGCAGGTTAAGACCAATTTCAACTGCCATTAATGTTGCCTTGCTAACAATGATAATAATAATAAAAAGACAGGTTTTCTCTGAATACAAAACTATCCTTACATTTTGAATCTGAAGTAACTGGAAAATGTGATTATATCACAACCAACACCACGTAGATGTTAACTTTCATGCTAATGTTATTTTGTTACATCATTTTATTAAAACATATCACTTTTTATTAGCTTTGCGCTTCATTCGAGCTCCTTTACTGTCTTCAGGTGATGAATCACCTTCTCGCGTACTATTTCCAGAGATGGGAAATGATCCACATTCCTGGCTGGAAGTTGAGGCAAAATCTGGGGGTCCATGAGGAGCTGGTGGAGTGGATGACCCCTTCATAATATAGTCATAAAATTGGGTGTACTTGTCTTGAGCTTGTTGACGAAAATTCAACATTCTTTGCCTTTCTGCCTTTAGTTCAGTTTTTTCATCACACAGCATATTCAGTTCTTGCTGAAGATCCATAATCTGGTCCAGCTTTCTTTTTCGACAATTCCGAGCAGCTACCTGTAAGAACATAATAATTTAATAAAAATCTTTTGATGCTTTAATGCAAATACAGTATGTCCACTAAATAAGTTACTGAAAAAACAATATGTTACGGAAAATAATTTACCATAAACTACACATTTTTCAGTTTAAAGTGGGAAAGAGAAATCTTTAAAGTATGTTAATAATTAGACATCATAATATTTCTTGGCTATGAATGCAATATTGCAAAAAGTTTCACCGTAAAATCTCCCACTGTAACACAACCACAGAACAAAAAAACTACACATAAACTACACATTTTTCAGTTTAAAGTGGGAAAGAGAAATCTTTAAAGTATGTTAATAATTAGACATCATAATATTTCTTGGCTATGAATGCAATATTGCAAAAAGTTTCACCGTAAAATCTCCCACTGTAACACAACCACGGAACAGAAAAGCACTGCAATTCAAAAACTCAATTCTCAATTTTATGAATGCTACAGTATTAAAAAGACAGTATACAAAACTTTACCTACACATAACACAGAGTTCCTCATAGTTGTTGTAAACACGACTGAGAAATGCATTATTCCATAAATTTAATGTTTGCATTTGTTTATACAAATATATCATAAATGATATTTTATTTTTCTAATCCTGTAATTTACACACAATAAATGCTTTAATGACACTTAGGAACAACATTCAAAAATTGCTTGCCCAATATTTCTAGACCCAGGGCTCTCAGTTATGTAATTTAATCATTGTGATACACATAGAGCAGTCACCCTTTACAGGCATCCAAATTTCAAAACTTACTTTGGATAAATCTTTGAGCTTCTCCAACATTCACTGCTTTGAATTTTCTTGGATGACAGTAAGGAAAACCTCTCTTACAAGTGAAAGCATAGTTGGTTTGACCTTTTTTTTTTCATATTCATTATGACTAAACAGAAATATAAAGCTGTAAAGGCAGAAACTGTTGTAAAAGCCCAGGATCTATCGTGAAACATCTCTGAAGACACATTCAACTAGTGAGGATATGCAGTAATCACATGATATAAACAACAAATTAACATTAAGAAACAATCAGATTTCACTGAGATGCATTATATGTGTAGCAAAGGCAAATATGTTTGTTACATACATTCTAAGTTAGTTTAGCACTAAATGGTATCAATAACTTGAATATAAAAAAGAAACTTTCAAACATTTTAAAAGTTTTACCAACACTGTTAGGTATTTTTTATAGCACAAAACTTTTTCATACAGGATTTCTCCATTAAAACATTACACAGTTAGCTTTTGGTGTCATCAACAATCTACAAAGCTTTTATAAAATACAATTTTCTAAACTTTACAGCATAACACACCAGGAACAGCATGTGTAGGGGCTACAATAAACAAACTCATACGATTGCACAATTATGAGTTAAAACATAAATGCTAGGTTGCCTAAGAATAGCAAAAGTTAACATTTTCCTATACCAAATACATATTTCCAATAATATTTACCTCTTTCCACACTTTAGCTTTATCCTGACAAAAGTTTTCTCATATAAGCATTGGTATGAATCTTACTTCGATTGCTCTAGCCTTTATACCCCCAATATATTGCCCATGATAATTCAAATCTTGTGATTCTCTGCACCTATGTCAATGCACCCCCTATACCAGATCCATATATACGCTCCCAGTAATTACTTCCTATTCACTTTTCATTTTATCAGACCTGAAACTGGCCATTTCGTGGGGAGGAAGAGCGGGAGAGTGTGAGATGAGGTATTATCAGAAATACATTTTCAGTACAGGAAAATGTTAACTTTGGAAACACATTTACCTCCACTCACACTTTAGCTAGAATACCACATTGACAAGATGGAGGGGCCAGTGAGTGGAAGATCCACACAGATGAGGTGGGTGGAAATTAGATATAGTAATAACATACCAGTGGGGTCTGCACTACTTCAGGAAAAGCCATAATTTTTGCCCGAACTACATGAAATCCAATTGTTGGGTGGTAAAGGTCGATCTGCCACAGAGGCAAAATCCTAACACCTTTAGCAGAATATGAATTTGTCCAGGCTCCAATCAGGCAGATGAGGTCCTATGTCTTGTTCTTGGAATTATAGGGCTATGGACTTAAGTCAAAATCCAAGGTGATATCATTGGAACCCAACCTGAATGTTACAGAATTTTGCATGTCAAGCCACCGGAATTACGAAGAGAAGGCAAGCAACATCAAAGTGGACAAACCCTCGCCCCAGCCTGTAGAAGCACAAAATGCAACAAATCAAACTCAGAATTACAGAACCTGTGATGCTTCACTCAACCTGAAGAAACAGAGATTACCCAACCTGGAATTATGAACCTAAATTCTAATTCCCTAGCCTGACAGGCAAGGCAACACCTCCTGAACCTGGAACTACAAGGAGGATGTGGAACAAATGAATTTCAACTAATGGCACAGGAAGTGAAGCTCCATGTGTGGAATTACAAGGAGTTGAGGATCCTCTTCCATGAACATTGAAATAAAGAGAATGACCAAAAAGAAAGGCCACGCACAACCCAAACAGTCGTCTCCCTGAACCAGAATTATGAGGAGGCTCTTGTGTAGGCTGGTTCTACTCCTACAATACACAAGGGAAAACCATCTAAGGTTATTAATAGGAGGGCACCAAGCTTTGTCTTCTTCTTCTTGAGTGGAATAAATAATAAGGATAACTGATTGGTCACTAAATGGATAACTTGAAACTTCACAAGCAAGGAGAACAATCTCATGAGCCCAAAAGAGAAGATCCAATGCCTGAAAACAAAGAGACCTGGACTGAGTGCCTCCTTGCTAGGAAATGTAGGAGACCACCACCATGGAATGTTTTGTGTGAAACATTACCACCTTCCCTCGCAACAATTCACGAGCTTGAGATATAGCTCATTGAACTGCTAGAAGCTCTAAAAGATTTAAATGAAGAGCCCTTGAATTCCATATCCCCTACAGAAGCTTCCCATCTCTGTTGAGATGTATCCATCAAAAGATGTATCTCATGATGTAGGGGCAGGAGAAGGACATCTACTGTTGTGTTGTCCCTGTACAAACACCAGCCAAGATCAAGTGGGCTGGATTGTGACAGGATCACTGGACAATACAGTGCATCCTTGCAAATATTCCAATGGTCCTGTAACAACCACTGAAGGGAATGCACTTGGGCCCTAACTAAAGGAATGAGTGATTCAAAGGATGCACATATCCCCAAAGAGAACAACCGAATGCGCCAGTGGAGAAAAAGATGATGGTATTAGAAGAAAGACTCATTTTATGGCCTGAAGAGGAAGAGGAGAAGGTTGGGCCCAATTGAGACGTGTATTGAAAAATACCCCTAAATGGATGAGGTACTGTGTGGGAGTAAGAATAGACTTCTCCATTTGGATGAAAAACCCAGCTCTCACAGCTTTGGATAAAAGAGCACGAGTGTGAAGTTGTGCCAAGGGGTAGGAAGGAGCAAGAAGAATCCAGTCTTCCATATAATGGTGTGTGTGAAGGTCTATTGAGTGAAGATAAAGAGAAAAGGATTTGACTATTTGGCAAAATATGTATGGGATGGATGCAAGGCAAAATGGTAGATCAGGAAATTGAAAAAAACCAGTCTCTTGTGCACAAAACAAAGAAATCAACGTAAAGACTCCACAATTGAAATATGAAGGTAGGCAGGCATCTGCAACATCAAACTCTGTCATCCATAGATTGGGAGCAAAGTGCCACTGTATCAAAATAAATGTCTCCATGGTAAACTGAGGAGGCTGGAGAAAACGACTGAGATGAGAAAAGTCGATAACAGGTCACCAATCACCCATCTCCATCGTTACTACAAACAAATGGGAATAAAAACACTCAAGAGAGTAGTCGACACACTCTAAGACCTTTGTGAATGGAAGATCTTTGATGGCTTGTGCTTTGATGACTGGATGTAAGACGATCCTTGGTGATGGGAAAGACAACAGTTATGGTAGGCAATGGATGAGGAAACATGATATGAAGGACCAACCAGCCAACTGGTAAGAACCTGAATAACCCAGAGGCAAAGGTTTCCCATACAGACCTGAACTATCTGAGTCGAGCCCCATGGGACCGGATCCTATAGGGTATTCACTTGAAGCCATTGTTGACATCTAAGGGCAGGATCTCCATTGTGTTCTGATAGAACATGGAACCAAAGCAGGATGTCTGGAAGCCCGAAACAGGAGATGCAGTAAACCGTTAATTAGAAGACTGGGAAAGGTGGGAGACCAGTCTCTAAAGAAAAAAGGGGAAGTGGGTCACATTTACCTATGAAATCTGGAATACTTGCAAAAATTGAACGTCTGAGAAAAGGAGCTTCTCCAACACCAATAAGGGCCAAAGAAGGAAGTCTAAGACACCCTCAAGCAAGGTATCTCTCTCCAAAAGATCCCAGCAACAAAGCACCAAGAGACCAACGAGAGAGAAGAAACTGATAACCTTACCAAAGTAGAAGTCAATAAGTGACTAAGATCCACTGAAAATTAAGCAGAATGTTTGTAAAAGGTCTCACACAACAGTTACAAAGAAGATAAAAAAACAACAATTAAACATTGGTTCTCCAGTCAATGGAAAGCTAAGGCATGCTGATCTGATAAACAGGGAAGACAAGGCATGGCACCAGCCTCTATCAATTGATCTGCAAATCTATGAGCATGCACAGCAATGTCTGGCAAAGGTGAAAAGATTAGGTAATCAGCGAAATGACTCTTTTCCTACAAAGAAGGAGAAGAGTTGTAAATCACAGGAGAAATTTCAAGACATCACAAACTTGCTGTACTAATTGCAAAAAAATGATGCTTGATGTCTGTCCAAAGCTCGTGATTACTACCTAAGCAAAGGAAGGAGCTGGAAAAATTCTCACCAGTCCACCCCTGATCCCCACAAGCTTAGAATCTGAGCCAAAAGGAGAAGAAACATTAGACCTCATGTAAGACTCCATCTCTCTGCATATGAGGTATTGGATGTTCTCCGTGGAAAGGGGGCCTCCCCCCGTCTTCCGGGCAACACTAGACTTCAGAGGTGGCAGATTAGATGCACTAGGACTCTGCATCAGAGAAGTGAATGCGAGAATTCATATCGGAAATGTCTTAAAATATTTATTATATTTTTGTAATTGAAATTAAACAAAATAGACAATAAACTCAAAACCCAATAACAGGGTAAACAAAAAATTGTCCAATGTGAAAGTTATACAACACGTAAGAGGAACCTACCCCAAGTGTGTAAAACTGTTCTTGTAACATTATGCCATTGAGAAAAGTGAATAGGAAGTAATAACAGGGAGCTTATATACAGATCTGGTATAGGGGCCCATTGATGCAGTTGGAGAGAATCACAAGACTTAAATTGCTATGGGCAACATAGTGGGTTATAAAGGCTGGAGCAAGTGAGGCAAGATTCATACCAATAGTTAGATGGGCACAGAAAATAACCTTTGTTGGGATAAAGCTAAAGTGTGAGAAAATGTGTGTTTTGAAAAACGTCTTACAGCAAATAAGATACCAGAAATACTGACACTGAAAACTGTGGCTGATACAGGTAGTTGTTTCCCATATTAGTTTTGTTTCATTCATCATAAATACACAACCTAAACCATCTATTTAAGAATCATAGTTTATCTTTCAATTACTGTTTCTATAATGTATTAATAATGAATATATAGAACAATAACAAAAGAATAATTGTTACACTAAATATATATGTTTTTGCACCAAATTTTAAGGTTAAGAAACAAATATTTTGATTTCATATTGTTGTTCTCAAACACCAGAAACCTATTAGGCCTAAAAAATATTACAGGTATTTTTACCATGCTTCTCTCAGTAAATTTACTCAAGAGTATTCAAAATAGGATACTGTTAGGGGTTTTTCATCCAATACAACTAGTTTGAGCTTATACAAGCCAAAATGTCCATTCTGAAATGCTATTTGTATACGTTACTAGATATGTGTGTGGTGTAAAACACCCAAGATACTAAAGCAGGAAAGCCAATTAGGCCTAATAAGTATGTTGAACATCACATTTGGCCTAAAATGCGTTACCATATTGACCCTAATTAGTTCATTGTGAAATAAATCCCTTCAATTTCAAATGTGCTTGGGACTAATTAACAAGCATATTATAAAAATATCTTCAGACAAACAGAATTTTATCACAATTAATAGATTTAATGAGATAAATTTTTGTTCGTCACAAACATTTTATGAAATGCCATATATTCAAATTAATTTGTGTGTATTTTTTATAACTGCTTCCAACTAATTTCAGATCTTTTGTCATTGCCGAGTTGGAATAAGTAAATAACGTGATTGGACCCTTAATTCTACGTACATAGGAACTGGCATTAATTTATATAAAGTATTTCCTTGAAACAGATCCAACGAAGTTTAACATTGCTTAATATACATTAAATGATTTCATAAAAGTACTTACTTTGTTTTTTCCTCTTCTACGAATATCTCTAATCAATGTAAACTGTGATTCATTTAGTTCATACTTTGAAATCTTTTTATTAAAATCATCTATAGGAAGGTTTATAATTTCATCCACAGAAATGGGCAGTTTTAGGGCTCTTGCATTGCTTTCATCTCTTTTTCTTTGATCCTGCTCTTCAAGGTGAGCCTTAAGTTTGTCCCTCATAATAGGCTTTTGTGAGCAGTTGCTCCCATCCATTGGTAAATGATAGGTATGATTGTGATGGGCAGAACTGGGAAAACTGTCTTCAAGAGTGTTTCCTGAACTACTTGCAGAACATATTTCAAGTTCATGTCCTAAGTGTTTTACTTCATCTGTTGAAGTATAAGGATATGGATTATTTGTAGAATTATCATCTTGATCATTTACTTTAAGGTACTCTTGGCGTTTGAATGTCTGTTCTGCTTGGTGAAGGTCTTCAATACTATTTCCAGAACCCTAGTGTTCAAGAAAAAATATAGATAATCAAAAAGAAATATTAAACATTTTATGTGGTATATGTGACACTTGTGCACAAATCCAAGTTAAATAATCCAGTGATATATATATATATATATATTGATCTCTCAAGGCCTGAGAAGTTTGATGAATGAATATGCATTACTGAATAACAAAAGCAAAAAAAAACGTATTTCATGTAAAGCTATTACAATTTACATTCCATAAGCAATATCTCAAGAAATTTATAGTTGAGATACAAAAGGCTAAAGCATTGCACTAAATATAAATCATATATCATTTTTACAACCTTGTGAGGGCCTAAGAATTTTTTAGTTATCCTTAATCCAAATACACTTCAGTAACACAGCTTTAAATTATCATTTTATGTGATCATATCTCACTTGTTAAGTAATGAAATATCATAAGAAATAAAACAAGTTTTTATCTACTCACTCAAAGCTGCATCACTGAAGTATATGTAAGAGCATGAGTAATAATCTTTAATTGCCTGGTCTTTTAATAACCTACTTAGCAATTAATAGTCACTACTTATAACAGTACAGTAGATACTAAGCTAGAAAATCTAATCTCAAAATTATCACAACAATGCTTGCAAGTAGCAACAAATTCAGTAATCAAAACTTTATAAACTTAATACACCATAAAAAAGTCACAAGTAGATTAAACTACAATATAATGGTTATTGTAGTTGAAAGGAGAAAACTTCAAAAAAAAAGTGTAAAATGTTTGAAGGCAACAACTTGAGGTTTTTAAACGAATATGTTTTTTAACAAAAACTACACAACACAAAAAGTAGTTTACAGAGGACAAGAAGAGAAACGCTAACGAAACACACATTCCAAGTTTAAATTTCACATATAATATACGCTTTTAGACAATACTGTTGAAAATGACATGTGACCAGTTTGAATTCTGTATAAAATCTAAGCTTTTAGAGACCATAAGAAGAATCAAACATGTCAAGTCTCACTTGGACTTAATAAATTTTATAAAAAAAGTAAAATATATTTGAATATCATTCTCTGCACAAAATCTGTAAGTTTTTGAAAATGATGAGTAAGAAGTTTTGAAACCTTACATTATCAATTGTTTTCCATAATATACTTCTTAAGCTTACTAATAGTACTCTGACAGAAGTACTCCACACCAAAAACAAATTTAATAAAAATAACCATTAAAATAAAATAATTATAAAATTAACAACTTTTCAATAATTTATTTCACTAAAACAAAAGACACTGATATCACTATAAAACTCAAATAAAGAGCACCTAATAAACATTACAAACTATTTCACTGTTGTTTTTATTGATCTGAAACAGAAATCAGACCAAAGAAAATACCAAAACTCATGGTTGTAGAACTCAAAACAAAATTAAATAAAATTGTGATGCTGAATCTAGTAATCACAATGAAACATTTTTTTCATAACTGTCTGTATCTTTAATTGGATACATGTATCAACACTGAAGCCACCTTACTTAGAAAAACATTAGGAAAATATATGAAATAGCAATCAACACCACACATACATACATATATGTATATAGAGACACACACACATACATACATACACAATACACATTAAACAAAATGTTTGAGCTATGACAAAAAAAAATCTGTACCTGTACAAAAACAGAAACTACAATGGAAGTTATCTACCTACCTGATTTTCAAAGTTTTGCAACCGACGACCAAAAAATTTATATTTTTTTTGTGCCACAAGTGGATGGTTAACTCCAGACAAATCTGCAGAATCCACTCCTCTGTTTAACTCTGATGACAGAGCTAGTGAATGGTTTAATTCCACATTGAAGGAAATCTCCTGATCATCATGGTGAGAGGATGTTTCTGAACAGGAATCTAGCCATTCCTAATTAGATGATAATTGTTTTTAAGCCAAGGAAAATAAAATGTGCAAATGTAAACATAGAAGCTAATTCTTTGTTATAAAAAGAAAGAAAGAAATCTTGATGCATTACTACATGTGTATATGACAAATACACTTAACCTTAAAATGACAACCCACCCATCTGATTTTTGAGTGATGGAGTAATTGATCCACTGATACCAAAATCAAAAGGTCATTACCTGTTATACAAGGTCAATAATAAAATGTTCTTAGAACAATATAATGGTAAATGATTACTTAAAGACTGTTACCATCTATAAAAAAAATTACTGCTAGTTTTGAATTTTTAACATTTTAATAACTAACAATTTTAGAATTGAAATTTTGGTATTATGTATCATACATTTAGGACAATTTGCAAATAAAAGTGAAAACATGTTCAAACTTACATTTCTGCACAGCTTTGAGGTTTCTTTGTAGTTAAGCATAAAGCTACACAATAAGCCATCTGTGCTGTGCTCTCCATGGGTATCAAAACCCAGTTTTTAGTGCTTTATATCTCCAGAATTACCATTGTGCCATTGAGGAGATAGGGGCACATCTCCATGAAGCCTCGCTTGTAAGCAACACATTTATTAAATCTTCTTGAAATTTGTTCTCTATTACAAAGCATAGTCTTATATTTGCTAAGAAAATACCATCTCTTGAAAACACAACTAGTTATGTCTTATTTCTCTTAAAATTTTCCTTTTCTGTTTTACTACTGGCCTTTATTCCCACCCTTTTATGATGTCACAGCATGTGATCTGAACAACCATTAATGAATCACAACTTTCAAAGTAGCTACAGGCAAAGTTTATAAACTCATTATGTGAATGTGGACTAGATAAAGTGGTTGGAACAGTAGTTTATGGTGTCATGGGAAAGTGATTAGACAGAACTCTTGCAAAATTGAACAAAGGAAGCTAACTGTATGTACAGAAGGCTTAGGAACAAACATAGATCTAGGAATTTTGATGTTTCTTTAGGCAGTCTTTTCATTTCTGAAAATGTTTTTGTGTTAAATTAGTCTGTTTAAAAGCAGCAGAAAATTTTTTCTACGACAAGATACGAGGTAAGTTTACTTTGGTTTACCTAGTACAATACAAAATGACTAAGTATTTTAATGACTCAAATATCTATTTTGTGAATATTGTTATGTTTATCAAATTAAAATGATGTAAGTAAGTAAAAAATACTCGTTATGTCAACTTTTGCTTTGTATTTTTTTATGATTTATAGCCGCAAGTGGTAACTACCGCAATTGGCATAATAAGTATGTTAATGAATATCAACCATTCTGAAACTGACTGGATATATAAAATGGAACATTTTGATCAACAATAGCACAAACTGAAATTTCAAGATAAAAACATATTTATATTTTTTCAAAAGCATCTATTGCAACAAAATGTTTGAAATTTCACAATGTAAAATGTGATAGAAAATGTAAAAGTTGTACACATTTTGTTAATCCAAAAGTAAATACTATTTAGTAAGATTGTATATTACATTTCATGCAATTTGCTTAATATTTTCACTGCAAGATGAAGAAAAAAAAATAGAATATCAATGACAACCCACTGGTCCAGAAAGTGTTAGTGCACCAGTAAACCATAAAATGTTAATCACCTTTACCTGACTTAATATAGATGTTAAACAATTACCATTTTTGAAAAATCTGCATAAGCATTTATTGTTCATAAAAATCATTAGTTTTAATAACATAGTGGAAAAAATCATAATTTCATTAAAAATAAAGCTCTCTATTTTAATAATTCAAGAATTGATTCTAAATGTATTTCCATACACTCAAGCTACATCCCTCTACAGCATTAATGTACTAAAACATTCTGATCAAAACTCTGCATCTATGATGCAATAAAATGGAATGTATGCAGTGATTCTTATTATGGATCCTTGAAGAGAACAAAGAAACAAAAAAAAACAACAAAATAATTTTCTGTAAATAGTCATTAGAAGTTCCTTCACATCACGCATTTTTTATCTTAGGTTAGCCACTGACGTTACAAAGTATTTTGCTTGCAAATACAATCACATTTGTTTAAGACAACCACAGTGTTCTTTGTTTGTCATGTTGGAAAACAATGTTATTCTGGTTTGTTCCACAAATTCTTTAAATATATATTTCTATATATTTTTTTTTCTTACACTTACTACACTTCCAATTTACAAGGAAAATCATTTGTATATTCATCTTCTTCATTGATCAAAAAGTTCCATCTGTTTCAGCTTGATATTCATTACTAATTTCTTTTGATATTCCATTTTTCTGTTTGAAGCAGTCAACTTTCCATTATAAATCATATAAAACATAGCAAGACTGACAAAGATTTATTGGTAAACAATGATCCCACTTTTCAAATGGTGTCACTGTTACCTTTGTTGAGCACCATAACAGGACCTTTGCCCAAATTATTTTTGGTTGAGATCAATTTATATCTAGTAATTATAGTTTATTTCAATAAACAAGTTATTTTGTTTGTCTTTGTGGTTTGAATAAAATAAGCTTTAAATATTCAATAAAAAAAAGATGTTTCATATGAATAGTTTGCTAAAGCTAACTAAACTAACCTGTAGCTTTCAAACAAACATAATTTAACACGAAAACATTATCAAAATAAAATATAAAAACAGTATTAGATTCATGATTTCTTCCCAAGTGTTAAAAACTTTGCATTAGGATCATTTGCTCACTATGCAGGAACTCCAGCTGCTTAACAATACTATATAAATAAACCACAAATTACTGCTAAAATCATTTAATCACTCTCTACAGTGACATAGAGATTAGAATCTCCTCTATCCAACAGATTTTAGTCTTAAGCTTTGCATATTCTCAAAGTTGAGTTGCATTAAGAATGGTGTGACCTTCTATTGTCACACAACAAATGAGGTACTTGTAGTAATAATATCACTGATAGAGAAGGGAAATAACATAACTAGCAAGGCATGAATCATATTTTCACGGGGTGATATTATCTTAGAAAATATAAAATCAGGCTTTAGGATAAGCAGACAAATTCTTTAGAAAGAATTAGAGGGTAGGAGAGATTAATGCACTGTCTACAGGTGAGTTAGATTTCTCGGAGTTGTGCAGAAATGTAAGTTGGAATGTTTCTTTTGTGAAAAACACTAAAATAGTAACATGCTAAAAGATTAATTCTTAGCTATTTGTGGCTAAAAATATATCTGAAATTGAATTATATTTTTTGCTTTAAATTAAAAATCTGGTATATGGGTGTGCACTTGCCACCTGAAGTGCACACATCAGTCCTTTTGTCATGACAGGATTAGTTATTTTATCATTAAATAAAAATCTTAAAGAGAAATTTCATTAACTCATTCTTTCAACATCAGTATTGTTATCAATTAAAATATAGTCAAGATGGGAGTAAATAACTATAACAGTTGCTCACTACATCAGATGTAGAAGGTACAGAATCAGAGCCCATCGATGAAACAGCTGAATCACTACTAGTATCAACTTTTTTCTCTTCTGCATCCATGTGTGTAGAATATCTAGTTGCTGTTAAAGAAAAACAAAAAAAAACTCGCTGTTATTTGCCTTATGCTATTTATTCTTTCATTTTCAAGCATCTGATAAGTGAAATATAAAAGTCTTAACAATATATACATAATTGCATTAAAAAGAGTGTTCATATGTGTTCTTAAATTGAAAAGTCAGCAAAGCAAGTACTGTATTATTAAAGTAAATGAAAGTTAGCCTAAAAGACAAGTGTAGAACTTCACATGTGCAGCTAATTTTCCCAATGTGATAGCTGGTAGGTGTACAGAAACCTGCTAATATTCCCAATGTGATAGCAGGTAGGTATACAGAAACCTGCTATGTTCCCAATGTGATAGAATGTAGGTATACAGAGACTTGCTAATGTTCCCAATGTGATAGCAGGTATGTATACAGAGACTTGCTAATGTTCCCAATGTGATAGCAGGTAGGTATACAGAAATCTGCTAATATTCCCAGAGTGATAGCAGGTAGGTATACAGAAATCTGTTAATATTCCCAATGTGATAGTGGGTAGGTATACAGAAATCTGCTAATATTCCCAAAGTGATAGCAGATAGGTATACAGAAAGCTGCTAATATTCCCAAAGTGATAACTGGTAGGTATACAGAAACCTGCTAATGTTCCCAATGTGATAGCGGGTAGGTATACAGAAACCTGCTAATGTTCCCAATGTGATAGTGGGTAGGTATACAGAAACCTGCTAATGTTACCAATGTGATAGCAGGTAGGTATACAGAAACCTGCTAATGTTCCCAAAGTGATAGTGGGTAGGTATACAGAAACCTGCTAATGTTCCCAAAGTGATAGTGGGTAGGTATACAGAAAGCTGTTAATATTCCCAATGTGATGTGTTGCTTTTCAGAGATGAATAAATTGTAAGTTGTACAAGACAGGAATAAAATTTTAAAACTAAAAACTATATACAAAAATGCAAACAGTTGAATTTATGAATAAGAAACTTACGATGTGGCAATAAATTAAGTAATGAAAGAAGAAGAAGAAAAAAGGTATGTTAATTACATTATTTTGAAAATTTAATTTCACTGTGCACTGATGATTCAGCTACAGTTAGTATTACAATAACGTGGCAGATAAAATATAAACCTTTACTTTAAAACTTCTGATATAAATTTTAGGAGGTTCAATAAGTTATGGAAATACACTATTATTACTTTAAGATGAAAAGAAGTATTTTTATTCTTAGCATGAAAATCAATTTGCACTCAGATTTAATCAGTAAAGCTTTTGGAGATTCATATACAAGTTTTCATTATAAATACACTATAAAAATTCTGATTTTTTAAGTACAACTGGCTTTTTAATGTTTACAAAAAACTTGCTAAATTTTGTGAAAATTTATTAATAATTTCAGAGTTCTAGTATTTAAAGCATCATAGTTTTCAAGGTCTAGTAAAATGACAGATTCATGGAGGAAGGGTTAAGTTTGATTTGGACAAAAATAAAAAGTACTAATAAACTTCATTAAAATGTGAAGTTCTCAAGATAAAAGATTATATATTAAATATTATTATTGAAACAAATATTGACTATTATAAAAATCATAATGGAAGAATGTACTTTCAGTAGAGGCAGACTTCTCCATGGGTTCCAAATCTTCATCAGCCAACAAATCTGTTAAGAATAACTCTGTTTGGTTCGTTGTGGTAGACATACTAGCATTATTTGGGTACATGAATCCTGGAAAATCGTGTTCATACATCACACCAATCATTCCATCACTCATGGGATCTGTGCTATTAGTCAAAGTAGACATAGAAGTTGCTACTGCTGACCCAACATCAGATGTGTCACCTTGAAGTCCAAAATATAGCATATACTTTTTTATAACCACCATTGTTAAAACCGTACAGAAATTAAAACACAAAATCATACTTTGGTATTATATTTGCTGACACAAGATGAGTAGTATAAAACCCTGCTTACGAAACATTAATATGTTAAACACACCTAAAAATATAATCTTTTGTTAATAAGGTAACATGAAGTCTTTATGAGATTGGTTATCATGTGCACGTGGGAGGCTTTTTAATGTGCAAGTGAAACTTTTTTTTTCTCTCCTCTAGTTACTGATGAGAATATTGTTTACAAAAAGTACCAAATGGCATGAAACAAAGGCTTTAATACACTATCTGTCCATGACAAATATCTGCTCCAGTGAAATAGCCTGTTAATGAGCTTTACTTGTTTGATGAAAAGTTGACTAGCAACTTAGCAAATAATATTTTCAGGTCACATCGTAGTTTTATAATTTTTCTGTCTGAGAATTTCTTTCTTTTTTTTTTTAAATATAGATGGCTTCATTCTCCTATAATGACAATATGTATATTCAAGATTTTTATTAATCAGAGTAGAAATATTTCTAAATTTAAAAAAAAATCAAGAATAATGCTATCTTAAATATCATGATTAGTTTATTTACAGTGTGACTTATACTTCGGTTCTAAAACGTACTTGATAAAAATAAGTGAAGTACAATTTAATTTAATGTTTTTTTTCAGAAAATACTTTTGTGCATGTTACCCTGTTTCTATTTCTGTGTCATGGTATACATATTATTACATAAAAATCAACAAATAAACCAGATTTTAGAAATGTGTTACAACTTTTTTTTTTTACATTTTAATGCTTTCTAGTAATGAGGAATAATTATGTACTAATCAAAGAACAAATGTACAACTCAAACAAATATGAAACCCTTTCTCTTAGATTGTTGAAGTGCTATGGGAGAGTAAGATGTTTGAAAGCTATAGACTGAAAATGAAAAATTTAAAAGTTAGGATTCTTTAAATTCATTAAGGGTAAGCAAAATGCTAGGATGGGAGTAGAGCCTTTCAGGGATGATAAAGGAAGGCTTATTTCTGATGATTATGAGATGGGTGAATTATTCTTTTCTTTAATTCTTACAAATGAAAATTTGAGCAATATTCCTCATCCTGAACATTAGTGAGATGGAAACAAGATCAAACAAAATGATCACATTAACTCTGAGCTTGTTAAGAAAAAACTGAAGTTTAAAGAATGCTAAAGCTTCTGGTCCAGATATTTTTCCCAAGGGTTTTGAAGGAGGTTATATTACATATGTGAGCTACTTGCTACTACTGTCCAAGTGCCAGAAGATGGCTTAACATTACACTTCTTTTCAAAGGAGATGATAAAAATTGTCTTGGTAATGAAAAGCCCATTAGTCTTACATCAATGGTAAGAAAAGTTTTTGAAAGTCTTATAAAAGATGCTTTGCTAAGTTGTTTAAAAAAAGTTTAAAATTCAGTTCTATAGTCAATCTTGACATTCTTTGAAGAGGTTACTGCTTATATAGGTAAGAGTATGGATTTGGTGTATCTGGATTTTTAGAAAGCATTTGACAACATGCCACAAAAATGGCTTGTTAGAAAATGAGTTCCACATATGTGGGAAGTGAGTTGGCTCACTGGACAGTAAAATGGCTGGATGAAAAAAGCAGAAGATTGTTACAAATGGAGTTCAGTCAAACTCTATTAATATCAAAAGTGGGGTACCTAGGGTTTCAGTGTTAGGACCTCTGCTCATTTTGATTTACATCAAAGATATAAATGAAGAAATGGTTAATAAATTGCTTAAATTTGCTGATGGTTTTGGGTGCTGCTGGCTGTAAAGGGGATGTTGCTGCTTTACAAAGGGATTTATATTATTTGTTGAGTTGGGCAATTAAATGAGATGACTTATAATGATAATACATAAAAAGTAATGTATGAGGATTATCATAATTTGAATTATATTATAAGTATAATTTTGATGGGAATAACCTAGTTGATCAGTCTCTTGAGCCATCCAAGCAGAGTACTTTTGTTTGTAGTAGGGCAAATAGGATTTCAGGTTGTATCTACAGAAATACTGAATACAAATCTAAAGGTTAAATTTAATGTATAGATCATTAGTTAAACCACTCTTGGAGTACAGTATTCAGTCTTAGGCTCCTCACTTTTAAAAGGTTATTGAATTGTTGGAAAGGGTTTGGAGTAGGGGTACTAAAATGACACCCAAGATGGAAATATTGTTACACAAGGGAAAAAAAAAGATGAGTTAAGAGGTATCTGATTGAGTTGTTTATTAATGTTAAGATAATTTTTAACATCACTGTATCATCTTTTTTTTCATACTTAATGATGGGAAAGGTAGGTCTAGATGAAACAAATATAGGAGTCATCTTCAGTTAAGAAAGGATTTTTTGAGAATGGGGTGGTGGGCATTTGCAAAGGGTTGCCTTCAGATGTGACGGATGCATTAAATTTTAGGGAGTTCACGGGAATGCTTGATAAACATTTGAATGATGAGATCTGGTTTGAGGATTTTTTAAGAGTTCAGTTTAGGAAATGAGACAGTCTGGATGGACAAACATGTCCCTTATTCTCCTTAAATTTTATGTTAAGTCTATTCATGTAAACTGGTTATATGTAATAATCATTTGCTCATAGAAACAAGGTACATTATGTTGTTAAATTTGCAATGTATTTTTTCCTATATAATAACGTCTTAAGTTATACAAGTGATCTTCACCAATTATGAATATTATTCTAAAGGTCTTTAATAGAATTACTACACTTTCTAATTACTTGAGGATGCATCAATATTATCTTCATATAATTTTTATCTTTATCAAAAAACTATAGATGTCAAAAATAAACTATTTAACAGCAATTACTGTATACATGCCCAGATTTATCCTAAGACTACAAAAAAAAAAGCTTTATGTTTCATTCTTAGGATCTTCAAAAATTAAAATATTTTTACATTCTTCTCATTGATTAAAAATTTATAAATAATGTAAAAATTATTTCAGATAAAACTGCTCACTCTTGCATAATATTTCTAATTAACACCATTGGTTCAACCATAGTTGTATTTTTCTGACTGGTCAAAATATTTGCTGCACATATGCAGACTTTCCCATATTTCAGCCACTAGTCACGCACACAAACATAATTCGGAAATCAGTTGTTTAGAAAAGCTACTTAACTTCACTAAAGTTTGCAGTTTTATGAAATCTGTTAAAAATACTTACTACGAGAATAAGCAGGGTAAGTAAAATTTGTTAGGTCAGGTGTTGGTGGACCCAACGAAGCATTATGAAGCAGCACCCCTGAGTATTGGTTGTTAATGTTTTCTTGAGTGTCAAATGACATTTCAACCAAACTGGAATTACTTTCAGAGTAATAGTTTTTAGTATCCAGTGATGATGTTGGACCTAAGTCTTCAGTAGTGATGGGTATAAACGGAAAGGTAGATGTAAAGTCCTGCCAGCAGTTCTCCATGTTTGGATATATGCCTGTCTGTTATATGACAACAAAACATTAGATACGTCTGGTTTGCTTACTTAGCTTCTACAAAAAAATACACATTTTGTATGTTTACTAGTCTACCTCAGATTATTTACCTATTTTTACTTAAATGTTTTGTTTACATTTCATTGAGAACTATTTTGGTACTGTTCAAGATACTAAGATATTTTACAATTAACTCTATAAATATGGGTAGAATCAGTGTGTGCATGTGAAGTCCTTTTACAGAGTTATACATGAAATTTAATTAAACAACTTTATTATTAATGTATGTCAATAAGTTTGGTATTAAAAAAATGTAGTTTATAATTAAATTTCTATTTTATCTAAGTTTAAATTTCTTAATTTCAAAAATAAATATTTAAATAAATTTTCAATCTGCAACTCTCAGAATCACATGGCTTGGTGGCACTGTGATTTCTCATTTATTGATTTTTTTTATTTTCCCTTACAACTGCTTCAGATTGTTCAACCAATTAGAAACACATTCTATAACTACTGACAAACTTGAATATAAATTTCCATCCTCTTATGGAGGATGTGAAACGAAAGGATTTTTTTTAATATATGCATTTGAATAACCAAAAAAGCATAAATTACTATATCGATACAATAGGATTCCATTATAATTTTTCAAGTTTAGTAAATAAGCTGTATTTGGATCTAAAAAAATATAAAATTTTGATATTAGCTAAAGACTCAACTTACCAGTACAAAGGTTTGTCTCAGAAGAAAGATATGATGCTGTATTTGAAAATGGCTAAGAAAGCCACTAGAGAAACATTCTAAGATTTTGATTGGTTATTCACATGTCATATATAGAAGTGTATATAAGGGACTGTTTTCAAAAATTGAAAGAGGTGAGTGTGGCCACTGTGTTCGATTCATTACATGAGCAATATTTTAGCAAATAGAAAAGATAAGACCTTCTTATTTTATATTCTAGCTTGTTAATATCTGTAATTTGAGTTTTTAATTCATACAAACTATAGACTTAGTTTTTGACTTTAGAAACATCTAATTTGAACCAGTGCTACATTCAACATACCATATGACACACAAAAATCCATGTTTATCTGTGTTTTTTTAATATTTACTTTTAAATTAACAAATTGAGTAATGTTTAGTTCTAAAATTTGAATTATAATCTACAGTTTGATACCAAACTTACTGACATAAATTCATGAAATAGTAGTTCAATAAAATTTTGAATGTGACTCAACAAACAAGATGACATGACCTTTCACCTGCGACCCATCTTGAAAGGGTTAAAAGCTTGCCAAAATTCATGAAGACATACATAGTACAATCAAAGTTATGTATAGTTCCATGGTTACTTGAAGGTTATAAGGTCAGTAAAAATGACCAAGTCCATTACACATAGGGTTAAAAAGGTTTTCAATAAATTATTAGGCCATGACAGACATATCTCAAAATTAAGGATAAGATGGTAAAAAAGTCACTTGTTGGTTTGAAACTTTTTCTAGTATATTAAAATGGAATTATATAATTTTCAATTATACGAAACCTCTGAATGCAAAACATGCTTAGTAACCGTACATTTATTTTATGCTACAAAATTTTAGTTCTTTCATTGAGGAAGATTTGCACATATTTCTGGAAGATGTACAAGGTTTTCCTAGAGGATGCAACAAACTGTTTGGAAAAAATACTTTTGTGGGTATTGAACAAATTTTAATCATGTATGATATTTTTTCAGATAAGAAGTCACACCAAAGTCCCATTGCTCTTGATAATAAGAATACTGAGGGTTCTACAGAAAAACTTTCACACGAGTAAACTAAAAAAACATATACAAAATCTATAACCATCTTAACTTATCTACAGAAGCGATCTTCATAAAAAGTTCATATATTCTTTTGTGCATTATAGACTGAGATCTTATTTTTAAGTATCTTAATACAGTTAAGAATGACTAATCATTATTCATATTTTTTACGTTGTGGCAAATTCTGTTTCAATAACTTAGAACCCCAAATTGTATTTCCTCAGTATTAACTTTGACAAAGAACATTCATAATTTTCTACTCTGCAGCGTTTATTTTGGTTGCTTTTACCTATTATGGAAGCAGTAAGTGGTTAGGTATAAAACTCTATGATATAAGAAACAGTGAAGCAGGTCTTGTGATGCTCAGAATTCATAATCAAAATAATTAAGCACCAAAATTAGTGGTAACTATCAAATAAAGCAAAGGATGTAAAATTTAAAAACTGCATGTTATTAGTAACCACATATTAGACACAGCATTTTATCTTGAACATATGATTTAGGATTTATAGTCATTTTTTTCTTATCATGATATTTATGAACTGTGAATAATTATACCATTTCAGACTTACTAAGTATAATTAGAAAACAACATCTGATTTAATTCTGTAAAGCCAACAAATAATTCAGGAAAATACTTCAGCTGCAAACTATTTTAAGATAACATATTTTCAGGTTTCTATTTTTAAGTGACCACAACAACTTCATATGTTTCATAACAATATGTATAACCTCGGCTAGTTTGTTACTAACAAGCTACATAAACTGTTTTAGGAGTTAGATAAGAAAATACTGCTAGACTTGAAACATATTTTTTAATGACTGCAATGTAATTTGAAGAATAGTAGATAATATAAAATTTTTTGAAATATAACTGATTGCCAAATAAAATGTTTGCCTTGTTGTTTTGCTGTACCAAGGGATCAACTATGTCACATCATAATAGTCCAAGCTGAAAATAACAGTTAACACATTCACTGCCACATAATAAATTAAGTGTAAACAAAATAAAACTTATAATAAGTCTTTTTGGTATTCAATGCTTTTCCTTTCAGACTTTGTTTTTTTCTCTCATGTTGTAGTGTTTCTTAAGCGCCTCAACAATACTTTTGCTTCAATGTTGTCAATTTATGTAAATTGAGAAATTGGTAATTACCAAAATGCTCCATGTGTATATTGTTTTCATTTACACAATGATCTAATTTATCATAAAATAAAGAGCGCAGTTATTATTTGTTAAGTAGGTGTATATACTGAGTTTGTATACATTTTATGTATGTGTAATTTTTAAACTGAAATTGAGCTGCTTTATATCTGATATTCACGTACCTCTGCATTATCTTCATTATTTCCACAGGTTTTATAAAGTAAATCATCAAACTGCTTCAACTCCTGGATCAAGTTTTCCTGATCTTCTGACAAAATATCAGGAAATGAGCTTGAGATCTCATGACTATCATCTTGATCAGTGTGGTTAAGTGCTCCATTGTCAAACAATCTTAATGCTTCTTCTACAGGTAGTCTATTAAGTTCCTCTGCAATTTGTTGGAAAGCATCTTCTTCAAGGGTAAAATGTTCAGGTTCATCTACCTCCTGACCAATACTTTCATTTTGTGGCTGTGAGGTAGGAATTATATGTTCACCTAAAACCAGCAAGTTTACAGTCAATCAGAGTCTACAAATACTCTACATAAAATACTAAACCAAAGCATATTTATCTATCTATCAAACTTTAATTATTACAATATAATGTCAAAAAATAAATAAAGTATACTAAAAACTGGAAAAACCACTTCAATAAAAAGCTTTTGTGAATGTGTAACTCTCACTTGAAATTTAAAATTTATATATTATTACAATATAATATACTTTTGTTGCAGTTACTCCTAGTAGAGTTCAGCATAACTAGAATCTCATAAATTCATTATCAATTCTCAATCTCATGCACCATACTGCAAACCATTGTTTTAAATTATTATGAAATTAATGAGGTTTTATATATATAAAAACTTGCAATGCATATACTTAAACTGGTATATGGATGCAAAATTACAATATGATGCTAATCCTAAGCATTACCAATAATATCAGTATTCTTTTATTGAGATGTTTATAGATATTTCATGCTATAAAACATATTTTGACCATTCAGTTAGTTTGAAGCATACAAGTTTCTCTATCAAATCTGGTTTAGATGCATCTAAAAGCATACACAATAAATAATTTCCAATTTGTTTACTTAAACAATTACCCAAGTTCTAAGAAAGTATGACTAATTGATAAGCAACTTGTAACCCATAATATCTATTAAATCAAAATAAACTAATGTAAGTTAAGCATTACAGAATAATTGATATATCTTTTTACTGAACTGCAAAAAAAGATGATAATGATTATAAAATATATATATTTTTTAAAATAACTACAGAAAGTAATAAAAAATTTAAAATAGTATAAAGCTACAGAAATACAGAATATCATGTATGATAATATACATGCTAAATTATGTATAACTAATTTCTTGAAAACAGTAGAGTTATACAACTGAAAGGCTTTAAAAAATAAAACTAATTAAAACAAGGATCTAAAATATTTTTCAAACCAAGTAATTATAAAAATAAACAAATCAGTTGTTCTCAGAAAGTATTTTACCAAAGTACTTATGATTTCTACACTAGTTTTTCAGATGAGATAAAGTGGATAAAGCAGCATGTTTATTGCTGCTTCTGTTGTAATGGTCTGGATATAACTTATTAATCACTAATTACTCCTACCACTAGATGTACCTCCACAGGGTCCCTGAAAGTGTTCTGTTTCAAGAGTAAATAAAACCAAAATTAAGAGTAACAAATATTTTTATTTCTTGCTTTTGAAGTTCATATGCCATGCTGTGTTTTAGCCTACAAAGTGCATAATTCTTCTCATGATTCAAGGCATGGTGTGTTTTACTGATGTCATGACAGTATAAATTGCAACATACGGTGGTGTGAGTGGTTAAAACAAGTGATCCCTCCAGACAGCCTATGGTCCCCTTTTGTGAAAATTAAAGCATAATTCATTTTCTTTTTATAACTTTGAATGTCTTATGGAACATGTTTTGATAAGAAAATAATCTATCATATGGCTGCATTATTCATTATTTCAACAGGTAAAATGCTAAGAACGATGATGACAACCTTGGAGGCCTCTTAAGGTACTAAGTGATTAGCTAAGGCCAAAATTGGCACTGTGTGACCAGTCATTTGCACTTGTGGTTTTGTCTGAAGAATAAAAAAAAAACTGTGGGACATACTTGTCTATAATTTTCCAAAATTTCCTTGAGGAAGGTCCTCATACTCACTCTTTGAAGCTGCTTGCCTGCTTTGCAGCATTAGCATCATAACAACACAGTATCCTCAAATCAGCAAAATCTAAGGCCCCATAAATTTTCATATTATATGTGTGTGTGTGTGTGAGACAGAGAGAGAAAGTGCATTTTTGTTTAATTTCATTGTTCACTTTACAATTTCTATATTAATGTTTCTACTTTTATCAATATAAAGGCAAGACAAGTTAACATCTAACATTTACTTACCAGTTTCAGAATCAATACTATATGTAATTCCTTCCCAAGGGTTATATAAAGAAGGCAATGAGTCATCAGTATTCGTTTCTTTGTCTTTCTAGAAGTAGAACAGCAAAATATTACCACATCAGAAATCACATAAAGCATAAACAAATACTACAGAGTTCAAATAATAATTTATTTGTCACTCATGAAGATTTTTACAAACATTTCTTTCTGAAGTAAAATACAGTGTAATTTGTGATGTTTCCCTAAGTAATTGCATGTACATTCACAATTCAAAACAAGCTTACACCCGTTATAACACATGTAAATTTATCTCAAAAAATATTTTACATAATATAAAATTCCATGGTATTACAAATATCTGTCTAATGTCTTACTGTGGCTACTAAACTATGATCTGCAGAATAAACCAATTAAAAAAAACGTGCATTTAAGACAATGAAATTTTAAATTAACATATAATGTCTTCATACAGTAGAAATATTACCATCAAAATCAGCCTTGACTACCAGTTAATCTACAGATTAAGCCATTGTCTGAGAGTGAGATTAAAGAACATGAAATGTAAATTACTAATAAAAATTTTATAATTAGTTATTTAGTAGTATCAAATTATCTAATGCTTTTCATATATCAGTTGATCGGTCATGCACTTTGATTAGTGATAAAAAACTTTGATTTAAAGCACAATATTTCATACCTATTTTCAGTTATTCAATGTTTTATATTCAACATGTGCTCAAGTAATATTTGGTTTGAGTTGTTTTGAATTTTGTGCAAGATATCTGCACTAGCCATCCATAATTTAGTAGTGACAGACTAGAGGGAAGGTAGCTAGTCAACACCACCTACCATCAACTCTTGGGTTACTCTTTTACCAAAGAATAGTAGGATAGTAGGGTGAACACATTTAGTAACATGGATTTGAACCAGCAACCCTCAGATTGCAAGTCGAGCACCCCAACCAGGCCATACTCAAGCAACCTCATTTAACAATAATATAAATGATTTTGACAGTAGAGGGTAATCATATGCACATAATGTGTTAATTATGGAATTACCAATTTACCATTTAAACCCAAATGTACATTACCTGTATGTTTTTCTGTTTAACTTGACCTTTCATTTATTTTGCTGAATTTTGCTATGATCATGATTCAAACAAATATAATGTCAAAGTATAACCAATGTCCTATTTTCTTGATATTATACTGTTATTTATTTAGGTTATCTTGATTATATAGCTGTCAGATATCTCAGTCCTTCAAATAAGATTTATTTAAAAGCACTAAGTCAGTATTATTACATCACATTACACATAATGTAAATTAATTTCATTACTGTATTTTCAGTTTTGTTAAAAACAATGCACATTTTTTTGTACATTTTACATATAAAGGTTACAGTTAAATTATGAACACTGAATGAAATATTAGGCAATTAATATTTTGAGTACTTCAGACAAAAATTCAAAAGCTTGCTTGTTACTCAGTAACTTCTAAGTGGATTTATACCCCAAAGAACGAAACTTAAATCCAGCTCCTGCAAAAAGCAATGTCAAACTAAAAGAAGTGAGGAATTAATTTATAATGTAAATTACGTAATATAGTGGTAAAATGGATTAAAAGAAAAGACATTTCTGTTCTAAAAAAGATGAATCCCTGGTGTATGGTGAAGGCAAATAGTTTCTATAAACAGTCAAAGGGAAGTAAAGCAAATCTTTTGACACATTTTATCTTCATCAAAATTTTGTGAAAAAACTACAACATTTTTAAAAAAGAATTTATCTAAGGCACAAAACATATGAACATAGGTTCAAAGTTGAATGATAATTTCACCAAAACTTCACTCTGAGAACAACCCAATTTGGAAATAATAACTACATCAATAGTAAATTTGAGAATCCTACCAATACCAAAAAATTCTAATATTTAAAAAATAGTGGTATAACAATTATCTAAAATGTCTCTCTGTCACATCTACATAATTACCAATACCATACAAAAAATATGAAATATAAACAATTACTGAACTTATGACAGTAGTAACTGTAAAAATTACCAAATACATAACAACAGATTTCATAAAAAATATTAACAAGTACTGGTCTAATAACAACAACTATCATACAAATATCAACAATTACCATGTACACAGAAGCAGTAAAATATATCTACAAGTTATGTATTATATATCCTGGCACTTATTGTTTATATAATAATACATACTAAGTAACCACTTACAGGTAGTTAGTTGAGATGACAAACATTGTCCAAAATATCTCAATCATGTACTGATAATTGTAAGGTAAATATCATTAAGCATAAATAAATGTTAACAGTTAACTGGAATGGCATAAAAACTTGCTACAGAAAAAAAAAAAAGTACAAGTGCTGAACAAATATGTACTAAATACAATTGGATAATACAGGAACTTATCATTACCAGATACAACATACATATCTTCATTTATCATTCATATACAAAATACCACAAGCACAAAAATGTACACATACACACAACCCCAAAATGACTAGAATCATAATTTAAATCAGGAAATGACAAAGTTAAGCAGGTGGAACAGTTAAAGTATCAAGAACTAGAAGTAAGGATGTATTGATTATATAGTTATTTTCACTACATAATTTAGAAAGCCTTTTGTTTCTGATTTGTTATTAATATTACTCTTTGTAATAGGCTAAAGTTGATGTACTTCTTAGAAACTAAATTTTTGTCATATTTCTTAACTGAATTAGTTTTGACTATTGGTATTCAAATCCTGCGGTATATCCTTAATGCTGAGTGGTATGTTGTACATGTAGATTGTGGTTTTTCAAAGAATGACAGGTTTTTGCAAGGATAATCTAATTTCTCACCATACGCATTTTGCTAAATATAAAATTACTCCTACTTGGGGAAGATAATCAAAAGGCTGCTGTTCCATCAAAGACATCCCGGCTTACCCCAAGATCAATGTCTTGTTTCCAAAGAACCTCAATGAGATCCATATCCTAAGAAAATAAAAGTAGTATTTCATTTCAGTTACAAGAAAACATAAGTAAAAGTGTTAGTATAATTGAATTAAATTACAACAGATTACTGGTATATTAGCATACCCAAAACTGACAGAACATTTAAACAAAATATTCACAATATTTCAGGTTCAGAAATGCAGGTAACCATTGCTCAAATCTTCCTATGATATATAGAAATCTTCATTATGCTATTTTGATGCAAAAAAATTAAAGCAATAAAATTCATAGCTATCCAATGGATATGCCAGTCTACTTTGAGTCTCTTTACTTTTGATAATTATTTAAAACTATGATCAGTGCCAATGGCATGAGAAATACGTCATATCGTTGCTTCACATAATTATGTTTTGGTTACATCTTAATGTCTTGAAAATGTTGCACCAAAATGATGTATACAGATGTCCCAAATTTATTTAGTATTTACTTGCTTGAATGCTCTAAATTTGTTAATATTAATTATTTGTAACTTTTTCAAAAGTTTAAAATAGTACAGCAGAGTGTGGAGTGGTTATTTTTACTCCATTTCCTAGGAAATGGCTCTTTGGGAGTAGGTGCTCTACTACTCAATACTGTCTGTTGAATCACACAAGACAATTTTTGCATTATTTTCACTCCACTTCCTAGGAAATGGCTCTTCGGGAGTAGGTGCTCTACTACCCAATACTGTCTGTTGAATCACACAAGACAATTTTTGCATGTGAAAGGAAACCCTGTTTATTACTAAATTCCAAGATAGAAATATTTTTATTCTCGATCACTGTGTTTACTTTCTTTATATAACTGCTAACAAAAATAAACTTCTAAAGTTGTTTACCTTTAAACTTTATCCTTTTCTCCATATCTTTTGTGTATTAAATAATTTCTCAACCTTTCAAATTAAAGTTAATGTAGAAAATAGCATGCACACACAACTATAAAAAATACAATGCTTACTATCAGGACATAGTATTTTCTCTGCACAAAAACGACTGAGAGAAAATATACATAAAGCCAGTATTTTAATACTAATATTGTACAGTGTATATTTACTTACACTGGTTTACAAGTTACAGTAATTACGTAAAAGCGTATCAAATTAAGTTGCTTGTATACTGTATACAAAAACTAAATACATGATTTCAATGAATATATTTACAAAATATGTTTTATTGTTCATATATAATTTCAAACAAAAATTCAATTTGTTTGAACAACTTTTAGCACAATCAAACATATCGATAACCGAATCAGACTTGAAGTGATGTCAGTGCCATCTATAAGTTAGCATTAAAAATATTTAATTTTTATTGAAATTAACATTTCGCGAAGCAGAATCTATTAAATATAATTTTCGAAAAAATTAAAAATAACTTCAACAATATAAATAATTTTAACATTTTTATGCTTATTCCAATTTAAACGATGCACAAATAGCAGTCTTGAGTCATTTACAAATTTTAATTTTTTTTGTGCAGTATTAACGAGCATATCGTTTGTCACATAAGTTGGAACTGTTTTTATTTGTAACGAAAGCGCACGAATATTAATTACATTTAACTTATGTCGATATAAAGAATATTATAATCAGTGCTAAAATGTTCTGACCGATTACGTATAAATTAAAACTATCGAATTAAAATACCGTATAGTTATGTAGAAATAGGGAATATTATATATGATGAACATCTTAAAACAACGTTCACTATAATTTATTTCGTTTATTGTCTACAAGGAAAAAATTTAAATTAAAAAATTCACAAATAAATGTGCCAATACTTGTACTGGACACGGCATGACTAATGGATAACGTGTCATACTTCGTACTGATAGACATCAGGTTGGTTTGGTTTGTTATGAATTTCGCACAAAGTTACGCGAGGGCTATCTGCTCTAGCCGTCCCTAATTTAGCAGTGTAAGACTAGGAGGCTACTCTTTTACTAACGATTAATAAGATTGACCGTAAAATTATAACGCCCCCACGGCTGAAAGGGGCGAGCATGTTTGGTCTAACGGGGATTCGAACCAGCGACCCGCAGATTGCGAGTCGAGCGCCCTAACCACCTGGATGTACGCAATGCACTTTCAGCTCTAGGGTACTTTATATACGAACTCTGGTATTTTCTAATCCGTTTGTTTAGCCAGTCTGCGTACAGCTTGAAATACCAATAATTTCAGTATTGCTCGTGATACGAATAAAAGAAAGATGTGAAGCACAATAATTAACGCGTAACAATACTAAAGCCAAGGCTGTTTTAATATTGTTATAGATTTGTAAATGGAAGAACCGAGAGATGATGCTAGCGGAAGAGAAAGTTAAAACATAGTTACAGAAATAATTCAAAAATAAGTAATTCCTTTGAATGAGAAAAGTTTATTTATTCATTAAAACTGATGGATTCCAAATTTTTAGATCTTTTTTTTTTCTGTTGCACACGTCAAACATATTTATCTCCATAGCTGGAATAATACTTCTCAAAGTACCCAAATTGCTCGTGATATAACTTCTCCGTTTACAAAGGTAGCATCCTGCCTGCTTCAGGTACCGAAATATGTTGTTTTACTTGTGCATATAATTTTTCATTCCCTACGTGAAACATACGAATTTAGCGTTTGACTCTATATACATGTAATACGTTATGCCGTTCGTGTCACGTTTACAGTTTCAAACATGCGAATGTAAGTTGTCCTTTGTAAGTGATCTAGTAGTTCAAAAATAAGAAAATTGTTTTGTAATTGATCATTAATAGTGGGTTACAAATAAAAACGTGGCTTGTTTCGGATATACGCGCAATCCGTGCCAGCTGTCTCTAATTTTGAACTAATAAATTAAAGAAAAATTAGCTCCCACTGCCAACTTCTGGGCTACTCTAATCAATTAGTGGGATTTTACCGACACTCAAAGCGTGGAGCACGATTTTTGAGGCACAGCATTCCAACCGCTAAGCCACCCCCGATTCCAAAATTCATGAACGACTAATGTTCTTCAACTCACAAAAAAAAAACGTGTAGTAGTTGGACCCATTTTGGTACATTTGGCAATCCCTTACACATGTTCACTAAACGAAAAATATCAATTCCAACTTCCTTAAAGCAGGCGTAAAACAGTTTAGCTGCTTTTCCAAGAAAGGTGGACATGATATAGTAAACAAAATTATAGAAGTTGGTGGCTATAGGTGTCTATAATCAAGGATTAAATTATGCCTACAGAACATAAATAACAACATTTGCAAATAAAACATACACATTTAAACCATCGCTTTAAAAAACTTCAGTATCTTTCAAAGTAATTATTTTACGAATATGAGTAATAAGACTTAATATGCGTTTTGATTTTTTTTTACACCTTCACTTCATACATAATATAGGGGTTGACTCCATAACGATGCTAACTGTACAGTGTAAAGCATTGATTTTTCTACACCTTACAGTCATCTAATGTTCCTCCATCACTGGCTGGTAATTCCTGTTTCACCCTGTACTTAGGGTTTTAAAGGAACATCAAATTATTGTAAGAAAGCTAACTTTAAGTGGTAATGATAACATCGTTTACACTAAAATTATGATCTTTCTTAGCTTACGTAAAATATAGAAGAAGCAGATCGAAAAAGTTCTAGTGTCCCCTTCCAAAAAAAAGGAGGGAGGGGGAGAATAGAAGCTGGAACCAGACTTGTAAGCTACAGAGAATGTGAGTAAAACAATTTCGATTAATACTTGTGTTATAATTTTCTTTCATAGTTTACTTTAAACCAATTTTAATGATAGTTCCAAGCGCTTTCAATACCCGCACGACCTTCGAAGTACCTTATTTAGTATCCTTCAAAAGGTTTGGGTGCAATATACCAAGCTGTTTTTGTTGTCGGCTGGCAAAAGAATAAGAGTTACAAACGGGCCGTTTTGAGCGGATTTTCTTTTCCTTGCAAGTCTAACATGCGAGCTATTTTTATTCATTTTTGTGTGTACAGCCTTAGTAAAGGTTTTAAAGTGTTGTTTGAACTGAATCTTAATTGTTTAAGGCGCTTTTTGCCCGAAAGTTCTATTATGGTTTTGTGTAATTCCTTGCGATCCATACTATGAGCCTAGTTCAACTATGGAAAGGAATCGGTAACGAAAACGCATAGGTCGTAGTGTGTTTCATAAGTCTGTAAACTGCTACTTACTTTTTTAAAAGATAAAAAAAAATGATATTTTTCACCTACCTTACAGCAACCCTACAAGGAAAATTTTCAAACCTTCTTAATTTGAGAGAACGTTTTCTTCCCTACCGTATAATTGAATTTCACATGTTGCCCTTATATAGTGTAAGTGACGGGAAAACCCACATACCCTATCTTCCACTTGGCTCTAAGCTATAAACCATCACGTACAATGTTAACTTACTTCTATACCTTGATATCAGCAGTAGGAAGACAAAATACACTTGGCAAACAAAAGCTTCCTTTGTGGACAATGACATCAATGAATTAACGTTACCATTAATGAAAACAACTACGTGTCAGCACGTGACTGTAGTATACGTCCTATACAATCGCAATAGTGTCATACTGAATGTTATTAATTAGCACAAAATCAAAAACGCATTAACAGGTATATCGATCATTATTAACGCCGTAGGCGTTGTCTATGCATAAGCATGCACATACTAAAGTGATTGCCCGACAGGGACAATCTATCACTCTTAAAATTCATTAAGTTTTATATCTGCCAACTGCTTATTTCACATCGATGTTATTAATTTTCTATTATTAAATTGCCGATAATATGGAACATTAATTTGGGAAACAAGCCTGAAATTTTTAGTAAATACCAATAAACAAAAACAAATTAATTTATATTAATCTAAGTGGAATATTATTATATACGTTCACCCACACAATGGTAGATTGAGATTAGAATGATGATGCACTCTGAAACAAGTGGTTAGATGTTAACACCTAAAGCTTTACCGAAATTTAAAGATGGAGAAAGAGCATTTCCCGAACATTCATCATTTGAGGCA